GTTCTAGGCGTTCATTGCAGCAAACCTTTATCTTGAAGCCATTTGTAACTAAACAGACGCATAGGTCAGGGATGAAATTTTGTCTTACCAGCAGGCTCCGATAGTTAAAACAGTAGATAGCCCTATCCACTGGATTAATCATTATCAAGAGGATAAGTACTAAGAAAACCAATTGCACTGCCCACTGGTTAGAGATTTATCCAGTAGATAGTGGTATCCACCTTTTGAGTAGCCTGTGAACACAGGCGTATTTCCGATCGTCGCCTCTCTTCACCCGAACCTTTTGAACAATTGCGCCAGTTTTTTAACGAACGGTTACGCAGAAAAATACATCAAAAGTTAGGCAGTTGCCAACCTTTCGTATCCTTGTAAGCTCTCTTGTATGCTGGCGTTTGCTTTTGAGCAACCTCGTTCACATAATTTCACAATGGCTAAAGCTACTGTACAATTTGTAGCCGTGATGTGTGTGACTTGGGGTTGCGATATTTAACGTTGAGGTTTTTTAGTTAGCCGGCTTTCACCGGGTAGCTGGGTGCACACCATCCACGTTGAATCAAGAAAGCAGTTTTAAAAAGGAACTCATCTCATGTTGAGCGAACGGTGTCTAATAAAAAAGTGAGACAACAATTTTTTTTCACTCTGATTCGAAGAGAAGTTTACTTTCATTGCAGGACTATCAAAATCTGGTGAAGGAATTTCATAGGCTTCTTCAAAATGCGACAGCCACTCATCCATTGGTGTTATTTCTTGATTCACTGGACCAACTTCACAGCTATAACATTACCAGGGAGATGTCATGGTTACCATGTAAACTGCCACCTCATGTAAAGATTGTTCTCAGTTGCTTGACGGGCGACCGGGCCTTTGCTGCTCTTAAGGTAGGCCATTTGATAATAAATATAACTTTAATTTACATTATCTGACAAATAGCTCCGAAAGAAGACACGCTGTCTGTGGCGTGTCATAAAGAACTACACTAACAAACAAATGTCCCACGTGACCCACTTCTAAAATATGCTATCGCCTATGTAACGCGCATTCGCTCAAAAGAGAGAAGCTTATTGATTGAATGCTGATGCCCAAGGGTGTATTAGTTTTTAAAGGTCCATTTTGCTTTCTTATCGAGGGCATCCATCCATCTCATTTCTAAAACCTCTTTTCTGACTGACTGCGAAAGGAATGACACTAACGTTGTTCCCGAACGTGGTAAAATGTAGATGAAAGCACGAAGATGCTTCATGTGTTATGGCTTGAGTTAGCGATGGCCTACTTGGCTACAGGGTTCTCAATAGATTTTTACTGATAAAGTAGGAGGCTCTTCAGCAAAGCCAGAGGTGTCAAAACAAAGCAAAGAAAAGCGACTTAAACACAAAGTAAGCGGCTATAAAACCCAAAGTAAGCGGCGATCAATCGCCGGGTGCCGCCTTCTATTGAGAACCCTGCTGGCTGGTGCTTCTAAAGTTCTCAAACGCCAAGAGCGAGGATTGAGAAAGCTTACTTATTCGTGTAATGGGTATTCGTGAGATGTTGTCAGCCTCTATATAGACGCCTATTTTTATTAGGGATATTATGGACCCTGTGCCTCATACATGTAGCTGTTTGCCTTGATCATCGTTCACTTTGTACCGTGGAAAACTGCCAAGCTTTCAAAGCCATATCATTGTTCCTCAAACTGCCATCCTAGCTGGTTAGCCGGCTATGACCTATTCTTGTTGACAGTTAAACTTACATTTACATCTGCGTAAGTCTGTTACTTTTCGTGAAGTTCTTTATTGAAAGCACTGTGGCTGTGCTTTTCTTTCTGTAAACGATCAGTTACTTCCCTAAGCATCTTGCAGCACCTAGATTCCTTTTCCAAGTCTTGGTATTTTTTTTAATCACTACAGGCCATCGCCACTGACGAAGATCATTTCGTAGAGGTCCCGGATTTTACTGATGATGCAGTAGTAGACTTTCTTAAAATGAAGCTGAATGAGAACCAAAGAAAACTGACTGAATCGCAAGAAAATTTCGTCCTAAAACAAGTATCACGATGTCCCTCTGCCCTTTGCTTGAAGCTTGCTGTGGAGCAGGCAGTTCTTTGGAGGTCGTACACGGCTGTTGAGAGCGCCAGCCTCGCTTCGTCAGTACGTGAAATGATCAACTCTGTGTTTGAAAATCTGGAGCGTAAACATGGCAGAACGTTATTGCATCACACACTGGCATATATCACTGCATCAAGAAAAGGCATCAGCGAAACTGAACTAGAAGATGTGTTATCTTGCGATGACAAGGTGTTGGATGACGTCTTCTCAACTTGGGCACCGCCCATTCGAAGGTTGCCTCCATCGCTCTTGTCCCGAATCAAGGCCGATATCGACTCCTTCCTTGCTATGCACGTTGAAAATGGGGTTCGCTTGATGACTTGGAAACATCAGCAAGTACACGATGTTGTTATAGAGAGATATCTCTTCTCGAACGAGATAGAACTTCGCCGCTTTCACTCGGAGTTGGCAGACTATTTCATTGGTCGTTGGACACAAGGTGCAAAGAAAGAGGATACCAAAGGAAATGCAAAGGACCGCCATGTTTCTCCTCAGCCGCTTAAATTCAGTGATGATGCGTTTAACTATAGAAAACTTAGTGAACTGCCTTATCATTTGCTTAAATCTGATGACTTTGAAAGGCTGAAGCAGAGTGCCTTATGTAACTATGAATTTCTTTTGAACAAATTAAAGGCCACGTCAGTATACGACGTATTAGACGATTTTGTTGAAGCGCTCGCTGTTGATCCGGATGAACTTGACGTGAAACTTGTTTTCGAGACATTGCAACTGTCGATTGAAGCCTTAAACGTTTCTGCCGATCAGTTGGCGTCACAACTTATTGGACGTCTCTCTTCATCTCGATCGCCCTCTCCGTTCATTGCGCGTTTGCTGCGTCAAGCGCACCATCCTTCAAACCCGTCATTTGTCCCTAACATCCGTTGTTTGGCAAGACCAGGCGGCAGGCTGGTACACTCGCGTCCTGGACTGCATGGATCTCTGGTACTTAGCCAAGATGGTAAGAAAGCAATGAACGGAGGCGATGACCAGCTGATTAGCATATGGGACGTAAAGAGTGCGAGGATCGTGAAAACACTGGACACTGCTAGAGCAGTTGGTCTCGTGGACTTCTGTCTTGATGATCAGTTGGCTGTTGCTTCTTGTCAAGGCGCGCTTCAGTTTTGGAACCTTGACGAGGCGGAGATGGTGTGGGAGATTCCCAGTACGGAAAACCCTGCCCCCATCGCAATAGCAGGAATCAGAGACACTCTGGTAGTAGTTCTGGACAACGTCATAAAATTTATTAACCTCAACGATGGCACTCTAACAAGAGATTTCTTAGATCAGGATTTCAATCATGACAAAATTGCAGGATTGGGTGATAACATTGTGCTTGCAAGCTCGCGAGCGAGCTACACCAGGCTGTATGATCTCCAAAGAGAAGATATTCGTCTTGTTATTGAGATCTGTGGCGAAAACGCGGACGATTTTGTCAGCGATGTCATTCTCACCCCATTCCATAGAGGTCAACTTTTAGTCTCTACAGAAAAGTCCTGTGGTGTGAGAGTGTTTGAGTTGATATCAGGCAAGTGTCTTCACGTCCTAGGGCCAGATATACTCTACCCCACAGTGACCAAGAGTGGACGTTACTTGCTTTGTACTGACAGCTTCAATGATATTGCCGTCTGGAACTTGGAAACTGCTGTAAAAGAGAAACAAATGCTGAAACATCCCCCGACCACCGCCATTGTGAGAATAGCTTGTGTCGATTTGAAAATGGTAGTTACCGTTTCCGACGACCTCATGGCTCGTGTGTGGGATCTTGAACCGCAAGGTGACGACGTTAACTTTGAAAACAACAAGGACAAGAACAGCATCCAACAGCTTGTGTTGATTAAAAGCAGCTTCCAGAAGCAGGTCATCACTAAGTCAAAGACCCCGGGGCCTATCTGTGTATGGAATCTAAGCTCGTGTCAAGTCATTCGAACCTTGAACAACACTAACGCAGACGAGGTTTTGGTGGTAGATGAGACACGCGCTGTCATTCGCTCCGGTACAAAACTTGCCATTATTGACCTCCAAGAAGGGAAACTCATTAAGCATATGCGATCTGATTTTCCTGCCAAGACGGATAAAGTTCATCGCCATGCAAGCTCCCTGTACAAGCGTAGAGATTTGGCACTACGTTTGGCTGAGAGCCCTAGAGCAGTGTCGACGAGTGTGAAGTTTAGTGATTGTGCTTTAGTTGGCACAACGCACGTTCTTATTCTTTCTAAAGACCGCTTGTATCTGAAACTCGCCTCCCTTGAGACTGGAGAACTCGTGACAAAGCTTAAAGCTGGTCAAGACGCTGTTATTGAAACAGTCATGGTCAGTGGTAATGGCTTGGTTGCTGTGTGCTCTTGCGAGAATGCTCCTCTCATCGTGTGGGATCTAAGGGAGAAATCCAAGCGATATACGCTGGAAATAAGTGGCCACTACCCACGCCTCACAACTGCAGACATCAGTTCTAATGGGCATTACCTTGTTGACGTTGTAAAACTGGACAAGGCACACAAGTCAGTGGTAACCTGGGACCTAGAGACTGGAAAAGTCAAGCACATCATCGGTCAGGGGATGAAAGTGTGGAAAGTAGCGTCCTCTTGTCTGAGCATGCGCATGGTAGTAGCGGGAACTATTGGAACGAGTGAAACGATAAGAGTGTACGACTTGGTGTCTGGTGCGTTTTATCATCAGCTGAATGGCCACACGGAACCTGTCAAAGGTGTCTGCCTTTCCAAAGATGGAAAACGAGCTCTTTCCTTCGTTCCTGTTGGTGTTCGCGATCGTACCATTCGCTTATGGGACTTGCTCACGGGTACACTTCTGGCCTCATTCACTCCAGATCTTCCAGTCTCTAACTGTATTTTGACAGATGACGGTGACCAGGTTGTCATGGTGATAAACAAGTCTCGGCCAATCGTATCTCTAACACTGTCGCATGAGGTTGGATCAAGGGAACTGTCTGTGGATGTTTCTAATCCGTATTTTAGCCACCCCACTCTACACGGGGCCGTGTTTGATATGAGCAAGGAACTTGAATGGGAGGACGAAGAGAGTGAATTTGAAATTGATGTATGAAGTTCGTTACGTAAATTACACGTCATGTTCTTTGCGAGGATGTTATCTTTCACGGCAATTTCGTATGACTTAACAAGTGGATTTTTTTTGGACGAAAAGTTCCAGCCGTTGGGTTCAAGCTGGGAAAATTTTGGTGCTTGGGATAGGTGTTTGTTTATAGGAGGTGGTCGCTTACAAGAGGTGGCTGCACGTGAAGGCTTGACCTTATGTCTTATGAGAAAGCAACAACCGTGATTAAGAAAATTTGAAGGGGGGAAGGTTTTCTTGTTTTTATTCTCTTGTAAGGGACCACTTGCCACATGGTGTGATCTCCAATTTAAATGTCTTTACTACATTACTCAGAGAGTATGTGAAACATCTACACTCATAGAAACTTAGAAATTATACGTATTGAATTATTCGAGTCTATTAAGTAGACGAGACCCCTGTGGTTCTCCTCTGGTAAGCGAACACTAAATCTTGGCAGGTTGGGTGGTCGATTACGGATAGTTTCGACTGTAGAATGAATACCGTAAATCCTATTTTAAGCCCCCTCGTGGCCTATTTTTTCAAGGACGTCTCAGCGGGAAGGGGGCTTATTTTATTTAGCGAAGACGGTGGTATCGGTCCTTTACAAAGATGAAGAACACAAAGTGGAAAAGGATATGAAGTTGGAGAACAAATACAGTAGTGGAAGCTCTCGTGAGCTGACGCCCTCGGGACGCGAAAAAGGTGTAAGTATTGAACCTAGCCTCTTACGGGAATGTAAAAATACAGAGTCTGTATGGGAGTTGAGAAAAACTGGGTTTTGTGAAGGCGGCCGTAAGTAGAGCTGTTCGCTTACGAGGGTGCCCGTTAGGAGAGACTTCAGCACGCAAATAAACCATACCGGAGTGCCTTACAATCGGGATTTATTAATACAGTCTACCATTTTTCAATTTCGTGACGAAAGATAATAAGGGGGGGGGAAGGGGGTCAATAATTTTGTTCCCCTGAAAAGGGGGGGAGGGCTTATTTGGGAGGGGGTCTTGGTGGCTTATAGGCGATTTACGGTATGTTATCAATCAATTTTGTAATGTTGTTCGCTCGTTAAACGTTGCGGGGTTTATTGAGTGCGGCATCGCGAGATTCGAAAAATAATGCCGCGGAAATATTATGTAAGTGCGGCATTTAATTTATAAAATAACTAAGATAGTACGCGCGCTCTGATTGGCCGAGAGGCGTGTTTACATGAGAGTATGGAAACATGGTTCTGACGTCAAGATGTTTTGCTTTTCGCGCGATAATCACGCAAGCACGAATTTGAACACGTTTTTGAGTTGAAAATTCGACAAGTTTACTTTACTTGCCCATTCCTTTGTCGCCTGAAACGTGTAAAGTCTTTACAAACATGCTGTGCCAATTTGTTTTCGCTTAAGCTGACATTTTAAGTGAGAAAAATCTTTATTTTAGAAGGCAACTTTTTTGCAAAACAAGAACTGATTACGCAAGCAAGACGTCGCGTACAAGACTTCGCGACCGGTAAGAATTTATCTTTTAATCAGTGTCATAACAAAGAGTTTTGTGTTTATCTCGGGAGAGTTAATTTATAAAAGCAATAGAAAACTTTTTTTCCTTATTTGCATAGCCTTATATAAACACTCGAGGGATTGGGAGAATTCTCGACAGTTATGCAAACCCTCGACTTAGTCTCGGGTTTGCATACCTGTCTCGAATGCTCCCAACCCTCTTGTGTTTATATCAGGCTAAGCAAACACGGAAAGCGTTTTCTATTGCTTAAGTATGTGATCTAATGATCTGAAACAAAGATCGCAGTATATACCGTACGTTACCTAGAAAATAGGCCTAGGAGTGTAACGTGATTGCATCTTTTTAGTTTGACTTGAGGCCATTTGGTTATAACTAGATGCAGTTAACCAGAAATAACTCTTATGGCAGCTTTTTTGAAAATAGCGACGATGATAAACGCTATTCATTCCCCCTAAATTCTTGAGGAACCCTGCAGTTAGTTTTGAGGTAATTTTTAATGAAAAACTTGTGTCTTTATAATATATTATTGAGAAAGAGGAGGACTTCTCCCTGGGAATCTTGTTAGCTTTTATAACATAAAGCGGTTTTATGATGACTTTACGACCAGTTAATCGGAGCGTTTCAAATGTAATTTTTTTAAAGAAATAGCACATAATTTAAATTTGATACTGAAAAGGGGTTTTTGAGTAATTTTCCTGGCCACTTTTATTTCGTAATCGGTTTGTTCTGGTATACATTTTGGTACGGAGATGATTTTGTAAATATTTTGGTAAATGTATCGATGTTTTAAACTTATTTGTGGCTCAAATGTCGAATTTGAAACAGTACTTTTTAGGCAGATGGTTCAATAAAATGTAACGGAGGCATTTTAAGAGTCATCTGCGTCATGTGTACTTTTAATGTACCAGTGAGTGACTCGCCGCTGTCTAATCCCCAGAGATGCGCGGTCAAGGTAAAGGGTAGGGGTAATGGCAAGGAAGAAAGAGGGACGTCTCTCTCTTTTGTTGCCCTCCTTTCCATTCCCCCTCGCGCTCCCCTGGACCGCGCTTCTCTCGTATGAGACTAATAGACGACTGGGGACGAGGTGGGACTCGCGGTTTCTCCCTTGTCTCGGCGGTCCAAGCTTTAACGTCACGTTTTGGAGTTTGTTTGATGGTAAAAAGAACAAATGGTTATGTTGTGCGAGAATCACGACATAAGGACAGACTCATGACATACACGGACAGGGGTTGCAAAAAGCACCGACGGCCGACGAAACGCGTCGGCTACTTTGCTCAGCGAGGTCGGCTACCTTTTTCTAGAAAGAAGAAGCAGCTAGTTTGAATAACTAGTTGTGTTTTCATAAAGGCGCTCTGGTTTTTTTCACAGGCTCACGCAGAGTTTGTTTACGTGCAAAAGTACGTAATATAGGTTTCATCATTTGTTCATTGCTTTCAAGAACTGATTGAATATGTGACTGATAAATTGACAGCTACATTTTGCTGAATGAAAAACACGCTCTTTTTTCTCTTCAGTCCCCAGAACTCTGTAAATCGTATTCTAGGGCTTTGAAGTTTCAAAATTGTCTGGGTCAGAACGCGCCCAGACCCCCTACCCCCTAGAAAAAGGGGACTAACGGTCCCTTGTTGATACAGTCTGTTACTCTATTCAAACTTGCTGGCTACTTCAATCTTTATTGAAACCCCAGCTGATACACACAACGCCCCCTAATTTTTTTTTTTTTTTTTTTTTTTTTTTTTTGGGGGGGGGGGGGGGGGGGGGGCGCTGTTAATTTGGTGGGGAAATACCGGTAAGCATTCTGGGCACGTTTAGAAAGAGAATTTTTGCTTGCATCGAGAAACTCCTAAAAATATTTGATCTTCAGCCTTTATTCTTCGTTTCTTCTTGCTAGCTCCAGAGAGAAAGAGAGAGACTGAGAAACGCACGTTAAACTTGTGAACCTAATTTTGGGCGTTTCGTGAAATTTAAATATAATGAAACAATTATAATGAACGCCGCAGAGCTTTAGTCGGTGAAAGCTCTGGCTTATTGAGCTTTCCAGACAAAGCAATACAATTCGTCTGGGCGGATCGCCGTAAAGATATGTATACGTATTTTATTATACGCCAGTTACTCTTACAGGCCGTCCGTTGTTTGAGACTTTGTGTCGATTTGTGAATGTACACGTACACAACATCGCATAAAAAAGAAGTTGTAGAAAGAACATTGCCGCTCAAGTTCTAGGGAGGTTATCAGGTCTCGGATACTATACATTCAGTCGGTATGTTCAGCAGCATTGCCACAATCATCATGCAGCGCGTCACTGAATCCTTCACTCTACCCGCTACTTTTCAAACTTTTTCTCCACGTCATCTGGACCATGGTGCTGTAGCTGTCAACTAGGTGATTGATTGATTGGTTTTCGCAGAATCAGGGAAAGGCAATTTATTATATGGCTGAATCCGCGGGCGCGCAATTGCAAGATGAAACGAATCATCCGTTATCACTTCTGATTGGCTACCCGAGCGGGCTCGGGAGCTCTCTTTTGTGTTTTAATCTAACCATTTTGACCTCACGCTCGGTCAATAACGCATATATACAGCATTTACACAGTAATCAGTGCCAGCTTGCATCTTCCCTTTTCAAAATTAATGTCTATCAGAAGACAGCAGATTCGTCAATCTACTCCGTTTCGTAGCATCAATCCTTTGTTGCAATTTTGCAAGCATTTGAATGTCGTGTTCCACAGAACGAGACTCCCGAGGATTCTGCGTGATTTTGCGTTGCTCCTGTAAAGTCTTCATTTTTTCCTGTACTAGTTTTTCGAGAATGCTCAGCTTCTCTTGCTCTTTTTGTGTGATAGGTTTTATTTTGTCGGTATCAGCACTGGTTTCTTCAGGTGGTGTTGTATCGATTTCTTGAGATGGAAGATCGAATCTGACATGAGACATTCCCGTTATCTCGTCATTCCCTGCGTTTTCTTGATCGATTTTGTCTTCTTTGCGTCTTAGCTTTATTTCCTGTTTTTTAATCAAAGAATCATCCTCAGCTTCGGTGTCAACGTGTTCCAAAAGTATCGACGAAGTTTGACTCTCTAAACTCATTACCTCGAAGATCCTCAAGTCGTCGACAACGTCTTCCACGTACGCTTCATTAATAAGGTTTTGAAGCCTAACAAACTGGCTTTTATCGATATAATGTCTTTGAGCCTTCAACATTACTTCCATAGGGTCTTCTTCCCCTTCAAGTTCCTTATCCTTCTTCTCCATTCCTGTCATTTCCTTGAATTTGTCCACAAATATTTCTAAAATTGCAGATTCAAAAGATTTTTCTTTTGTTCTTCCTCGATCATCCACCAGCGTTTGCCTGTGGCCTACTATAAACACCGACCTTATAATGGTTAGGTAGAAGAAAATCAATGTTAGGCAGCAGGAGAATAAGGCAAATGCCCTCACGATTGTGAAGGTGCTTGAAATATCGTCGGATGTTCTCACCATCCGAGCCATGTACGAAACGGAGGTTTGGAGTGAATTGGAGAAGTCCTTGAAATCTTCACTGTCTGTGTTGAATGCAAGTTTTAACATTGACGAAAATGCCATCATCAGGCAGAAGAAGACAAATAGGCAAGCAACCAGCTCATGAAAACATCTTGCGATGGTCCTCAGAATGTGATTTAAACAACTTAGAAACTGGATGAAAACGGCAAACCGAACAATAGCGATAAAATTGAGGAAAGCGAAGGCATAGTCGGTCAGCTCATCGTAGAAGCCACATTGGTAGAAATCGAGGAACTGATGTGAGTTTTCCTTGAATTGGTTTGTGGCTAGTTTCTTGAAACCCTCTGTTAGTACTTTCAGGAAAATAATGACAACCCCAGTGAGAACTAAAACAAGGTCCAAAACCTTGGCGAGGTCTGTAAAATACCGCAACTTGTCGTGGAATAGAGTGAGAACAACACGATAGATCATGAAAACCAATGTAAGAGCACCAATCACCTCGCCAATTATTCTGGCGGCTGGATGTTTTCGCAAGGAGCTGTACATGCTCACTGTGAAGACTTCATAACTTTTGAATATTCCGCTTATAGGCGGAATCTCAAACGTGATGGACATAGCTGCCAACATATTGATGGCGGGATTGTACACAACAAATTCGGCGTGCACCGCTCTGGTGTATCTATCTAACCAAGATGATCTCTCATGACGATCCACAATAAGCTTAGACTGTTGCGAACTTCTGTTCAAGTTCAACACGTATCCACCTCCGCTGTAAGTTGAAAATGTCCCGATAACTGGTAGTATATGATGAGCTTCGAAGGCATTAACATGCTCCCAAGAAGTGTGAACGTGAGTTGACTGTGACGATAAAAAGGCGAATAACTTTCCTTTTTCTGTCTCGGTTGGTTTCTCTCTTGCATTCTTCCACCCTTCGGTATAAAACTTTGTTTCTTCGTTCATAAGCGAATGGAAGTCGTTGCATTCCGAGATAGCGTCTTTAAAGAACTTGTTCACTTTACAAGTACCTTAAATGAACAACATAGTTAGCGTTAACAGAGTTTGTTCTAGTGTGTAAATACTGCATATTTCGTAAGAAGCAGCTTGTGGAACTCCTGGGAAATCTTTTACTTGCAAGTAAAGTTTTCGCTGTTCTGTGAAACTGTAAATTGACAATCAATAGCTACCTGTTTGTATGCGAACTTGCCGTATTCGCACCACGCCCAGAAGCAGTGACACTCTGTCGGCAATAAATGGCTCACTTTCACCACTCCCATCATGTAATACTGGGTGCAAGCCGGGTAACAAGGTCTTTCTCGTCCAGGCCCAGATGGAATCTATCTTTGTCACCTTTGAATACATAGATGTAGAATAATATTTAATTTCAATTATCCTGGCAGGCCGCGAAGCGGCCTCTGGTATAATTGGGATTTCATTGCAACTTTCTTGCATCAACGAATGCTCACTCATGACCCGTTTAGTAAAGTTGGGAATCTATTACGCGTTCTTATTTTGTGCGATACTGCATAATATGGTAATACGTTATTTAAATTTTGCGTTTCAAATAAGGTGTTGCTTTACTTTGGTGCAACACGTAGCCCTACAAGCACGTATTACATAAAAAATGTGTCAGCTAAGTCGCTATTTTTTGGATGAATTTTAAAATTGAGATGCAAACTAGGAGAGTGGGGCAGTAGCACAAAAAGAACAAGTTTCTTGCATACCGGTATTTTTTGGCAACTTGCATTGTTGTTTTCTCGTTTCTCGAGCCTTAGTTTTTCCATCTCTTGGTTATGAATCACCGAAGAAACTACGAAGATTGTCTCGTACGTGAGGTAATAATGGGTTGAACGCCTTTTGTTGTTTCGCTAGAAGGGCAGGCAACTAACAGTTGTAAGAAACATAAGTTTAACAGGTGTTTTAGCTTACCTGATTTAGGCAAACATAGCTACTGTTGTGAACCGGATCTAGAAATAGTCGCCTCAAACTATCGATCATTTTGTTCGAGTCTGGGTTTCTGTACTGGAAGCTTAAGATGATGACCATTGTGAGCAAAATAACGTAAACACACAAGTCTGTGAAGAGTTTGATCGTGTGACGTCTTCTAAGCTCTCGAGTTCGCAGCGATTTCAAGAGCTTCTTATCAGGGGCATTGTACTGCGTCCAATCTTCATGTCTCAGCTGTTTGTCGAAAACTGCCTGTTCGGCCCCTATGAGCAGATGAGGTAAACAGTTAGTCAGTGAAACATTAATAAAATGGCCAGTTCAGTAATAATCGGGACCAAAAGGTCAGATCTCCGCGCCGTTTAGATTTTCTCGCGCTGAACCTGTTTTTCTTTTGTACATGAAGAAAGTTTTGTGAGTCAGTCTGTTGTGGAATAAAAACGTTTAAACTAGACGAAGAAAAGTGTTCTCTTGAGTAGTCTATCATACGCCTTTCGTAGAGCTTAACTGCCACATTTTGTTGCAAAAACAAACCGTTGCTGCCAAAACTGGGGGAGAATGAAATATTTCAGAGTACACTAAAAGTCACTATGTTTCTTTTAAAACAAATTAGCTAGGATGAAACGAGTGTCGACTTGGGAAAATTTAATGCCGTTAAAGCCTTTAAATACCGCTCTAACGCTGGGACGTTGAAACGTAGAAAGTCGGTAAGATTAATGAAATAAAAATAGAAGTAGAAATTAAGTCCATGCAAAGAAGTGTGATGATGTTCCCAATTACAAACATTTCATTAATTAATGCTAACTTTGTCAATTTTAATGTATCTCGTACTTACCCATGGCGGCTGATATTTCTTCTAAATCGTCCTGACCACTGGGCGTTGCGACAGCTATTGCAAAGACCAAGGAGACAATAAGCACCTTCAATGGCTGACTGATTAGTGTGTCTTGGACAAACGAGATGGCCATAGTCGTTAGCCAAACGTTAGACTGCTCTTTCCCCCACATCATGCTGTAAAACAGTGTGAACGCGGCAGATGTAAGTGTCATCAATATGCACAAAGTCCAACCCACGTAAATGCACCAGTGTGGAAAACAGTGTGAACGGCTGCCTCCAGAGCCTTTGAATTTTGCACGAATTCTTGCAAAGAAACCACTAGATTCATCCTGTAACGTTAAGTCAGTTTGATCGTGATTTTTACTGCTATTTTCGCCTGGTTCACTATGAAGTTCATCTTCATCGTCGATCTGACACTGGATATCGTGGAGGTCCGTTTCTTGGTCCTTATTTTCAACAACTCTCACTAAACTATCCGTATCAGTACGTATGGAATCAGTATCATCAACCTGCTCAGGTGACCGGGAAACGTTTTGTCTACAACAATTCTCCTTTGGCTGGGAAGAATTAAATTCCTTCCTTCTAGATTTTCTAAACAAAGCCACAATCAAGAGGTTGACAGGCAGTACAACTAATGCGCTCTCGATCGCTATAATCACAGTACGTAAATTAACTTTAATCGGTCCCAGCTCCAAGTTTTTAGACGTATCTCCCGGTTGAGGGTCAGAGCCGTAAAACATAGCAGTAACGACCATGAAGGAAAACAACAGAGACAAGCAACAAGAAATTCTTTGAAGCCGCGTGAATCGGCTTCTAGGAGGGCGATATGCTACTGAAAACCATAGATGATTGTCACATATCCCCTCATGAATTTTCCTGTTCAACCTTTTCTTGAAAGATACCATATCTTCTTCGCTTGCGGGACGCAGAAATACATCTACTTTTCCGTCTTCGTCCGCTACATCAAGCCAACGAGCTAGAAAACAAAATATGATTAACAGAACTTAATTTTTAACTGAAGATACGATTGTCGCAGTTGTAATAGCAATTTAAGCAATTGCAAATAAACCCGCAAAAAAAAACCGTTTTGAGACCATAGCCTCTTCGTTAGCGCTGCAGTACTCTCCCAACTGAGCTATGAAGACCCACACATTGTATACACGCAGTTCACATCATCTTCCTTAATATACCGTACGAAAAACTGTGATATGTTAACCTCGTTTGGTTTGACCGATCTAAATGGTTGATCCCCTGCACTTAAATTGCATGTCAAACCCGAATTTTTGGACAATCCTTTAATAGCTTTCTATTTAAGTTGTTGTTTAGATTGGGTTTCGTATATAAAATCATAAAATTTAGCTTAAAACAGAATTGCGCATTCCTACCAGTAAGGAAGAACCATTTTTCTCCAGTCTGACAGTCTCGAAGCATAGCCCTGTTCAGGAACCAGGCCGGCTTTTTGCCACTGTTATCATGCCAAACTCTTAATCCACGGATGGCACCAAGAGAACTCGGCAAGTACAAGACGAAAACGTTCAAATCTCCTCTGCGGAACAGCAGTCGCCTGGCATCAATCAAGTAACACGGCCCACTGCTGCCACTTTTCCCAAAGATCTCACAACCTACATTGGCGGTTGTACCAGAATTGTTACGACTTCCGGTAACAAAGTAGATTTCGTAGCGGTAATCGCCGTTATGGTGAGATGGAACGACAGTGGTGCCAATCTGTAAAAATGTAAATGGTAGCGAACAAGGATTTTAGGTGTTTGCAGCAGGCCAGGTCCGTTAAAGCCTAAAAACCGAGGTAAGTGCATGAACCCTAAAATGTTTTTAGAACTATCTCTGGGGAGGTAGCCTGTTCCAAGCGTTCAGATTGTGGGGACAGCGCAAAGAGAAATGATCGGGAAAAAAAGTGAGGGGATTCCTTTCCCCCTTTTTGACTTACTGTCACACTCCAATCCCTGAACTACTGGAACTAGGGAGGAAAATGCATCGCCTAAAATACCACCTTTCCCACGTAAACGCTGGGCATGATCACATTGAACCGATGTAAAAGCGAATTTTTTAACTCTTTTTGTTCAAGGCCTAATCCACTCTTCACCAAAAAGGCCCTTTCAAAGAGAGGAAATTGAAAGGAGTATTTCGAATTCGCCGGCTAGGTAATTCCTTTTGGATGGCAACAAACATGGCAAATGAGGCGGTAGCTCAAGTAGCTATGTCTCAAAACTTTCGAATTTTCCCTTTTCGTCCTTTTTGAATTTTTTTTTATGGACGGTGAAAGTATTGTGTCCACTAGCCCTAATCCTCTGACCTATACTCAAGCAATTCTGTTTGTACATGAAGCCATTAGGAAATCAATTATGTCTAATATGAATTACGTAAGTTTCGAGTTTTCTTGCATTTCTGGAGATGAGTGCTGAGGTAAAAGATTTCAAAACGATACCGTGAAACGATAGTATGATGTATCAGTAGTGACGTTCCAACCTGCATATAATCCAGTCTATCTCGTCTCCAAGCCCATACGGCTAACAAGGCATACACGACTAGCAAAGTCAGAATAGTGAAAAGCACAACCACATTTCCAGTTTGAAAGGCTTCCTTGAAACCCGCAAATACTTTACTGAAGTCTAAAGGATTAGGCGCCACCAGCATTCCAGACCCAAATGTTGTCAAATGATTGGTAAGGCAATGAATTTGTTTGGAGCTCGTAAGGGGTCCAACCTACAAGCAATAAAGAAGCGACATGTTTTTGTCTTCACATTAAAAAAGTTCCTTCAATGTATATCTCAGTAGTAGGAAAAGTCGAGAAATGAGACTTTTCATAAACACACATGTTTGTTCTTATCTTTGAATACTCTTTAGGCAAATAATGTCTTCTTCAGAGAGTACTTTCAAACCACAATTTACAAACTTTACGTAGTTATGGCGTCCCCTTCTCCCCCCTCCATATAAAGGATGGATTACGCACTATAAGACATTCACCGTGATCTCCATCAATGAGCTTTATATTAATTTTTCACTGAAAGAAAATTTCAATTTGTACTTCGTCACGACGTTTTCCCTAAACTCGTCGTTTATGCCACATTCCGATCGTTAGGTTTAGCGATACTCTTTGGGTATTTTTCCCTCCTGTTAAGTTGTAAGTGTATTAAGTACACAACTTTATCTGACCAAGCTATGTTATTTTGGTTGCTTTTTCTGTCATTTTTCATGCATTATTTAGCAATCGTGTTGAAATAAAATACTCCGGGAACGGAGTATTCAAAAACACTCATCGCACGTTTTTATTTCTGGTTTAATGTTCTAGGGGGTTGCGCTTGAGGGTTTCTAACATTACATAACAATAATGACTATTAGAAAGAAAATAAGAAACAACTAGACGCGGCACTTACAATGCATCCGTCTCCCATCCATGCTTCCTGTTGTTGATTCCAGTAAAGACATTTTGCTTTATATACTCTTATGGAATATTTCATCATAATAGTGTCATTGGAGTTCATCCCAATCTCTTCCTTGCCCCCTTCGTATAGTACGCCCATGATGTAAGTGGTTTCTCGTAAGTCCATATTTGACAAGAAGAGTGTGTATGCACCATACTCCTGAAAGCAAGCTGTGTAGTTAGTGTCTGGGCGACCTGCACTTGAAGATTGCCAGATCTGTTTTCTCCAAGAATATTTCTCCTTAGTAGGTTTCGTATTCTCTCGGACGAAGATCTGAAGTTTGTGGCTACAGTTAAAAGGGGTGACTTCGATGCTGACTGATTCGTCTTTCGAAGTAATTACAAACTTGTGATACACCCACGTAACTTCTTCCCTCACACTTACATTAAACACTTGTGATTCAGGCAGGTTTGCACGGACCGGTAAAAAGTATTCAATCAGCTTGTTGAGATTTGAAACTGTTATAGGCCTTTCGTTGGTCTTGTCCTGGTATAACAAACTCACGACAGGACTACTTATGTCGCGGGATGAGTTGTTGTAGGTATAGTAGTTTTGTGTCATTGAAAATACCTGGAAAGAGAAATGCACCCAGCGAAACTAATGATGCACGGCATACCATTTTACTTATCGCAAAAATGATACTTAAATCCTTAATCTTTAAAAGGCAGGGAGATGTGAGTAATCTCTTTCCTCTTTTCTCATTTTTGGCAGTAAAGTGCCTCGTAATCCACGAGAATGGCGGATGAGAAAATTTCCATAATCCTAAATTAGGTCGCGCGTTTCTATTAATCGCTTTATTAAAATTGTGGGAGTTGGTTTATCCTAGTGCATTAAGTATAAAATTTGACCTGCAGGAAAGGAACTTCTTTTCTTTAATGACAATCCGGATCGAAATTGCACATTTGCTTTAGTTTAGTAGTCGATGATAACAGACAGACCAAAAGGCGACACAAATTCTTCCTTCCGTATTTTGCGCAAATGCTCAATTGTCCAGCAACCTGGATTCGTTATCGTCTTTATCATCATCAGTAATCATCGTCATCATCACGAATAACAGCATCAACGTCATAATCGTCATCATCATCATCATCATTCGGTTGCCAAGTAGGTGACTAAAGCTACTTACCTTTTGATTGACAGATGTCAGTCCTGGCATCCCTTTAAGGAACATGTTGCTTCCTCCCGGCAATTTGAAATTTGCGAAACCTACTCGCACTTCACTGCCAGCATCAGAAACTGTGAAACTTTTCAAGTTGACTGTGAGTCTCGGGGTGGAAAACTCTGAAGCTTCTTCAAATGAAACCTTACTTCTAAGCAGTGATGTGGTCAGAGAGTCTAGAGCGTTGATTAAACGTTTCACCATTGCTTTACCCTAGAAAAGACAGTGATTCAAATGGTCTATTGTAATGCAATCACCTTAGTGAGAAGCCAAGCAGCCACGTTAAAGACCTTTAAGACCATTCCCAGGCTTTTGAGGGCAACAAAACAAAAGGAAGTGTCGAATAACTTTACTAACCAGTTCATTTCATTTTGCATTGACTCGCGAAATAGACTTTGGCATTTTAGGTAGGTATAGTACGGACGAGCTACCACTGAAATTGTCATAGGTAAGTATTTCATTTCATCTTCAAAATGAAACGTTGTAATCCCCGTGTAAAGGATAACATTAAGGACGCCAGCAAGCAATGCTCAGTGCCTTAAGAGGTTTATTGAAAGGATCAATGGCCAGCACCAACGTAAAATCCTCAAGTTGCTACCTTAACTAACAACATTCCTTTTACGTATCCTGGCGGCCTTTTTATATTCTATATTCCTCCGCTGTTTAACGTGGAGTACCTTTGAAAACAGCTCAAGAGCGTCTAGGTAAAATTCACAATAGTATGTTACGAGTTATTGAAATAAACACAATGTACTTTAGCTTGCTTGTTCTCAGTCGCACTTTGCTGTTCCACGCCCTGATTGCTGATGTTAGCTTGATTGACAGCTGCTTCCTCAGATGCGGCGCCCAGTAAGTTCCCAAGTGCACCACACGTAGTTGACGCAAGAGACTCCAAAGAGCCAGACGCAGTTTCTTTTGATTCACGGTCCACAAAAGCAGCAATGCTTGTTAAAGCAGATGTACTGGCCTCCTGGACAAGAAAGATAAACAGACAGATATTTAAAGGTATTATTTGTAAGTATTATTTGAAGTATGTGTGTTGTTTTATATGTGGCTTTCTCATCCATTTATTTATTGATCGGTAGTTGCGGCAATCTGTCAACTTCGTTCAGTTAAGGGGTTTTGCCTTGGGTGCACTGTAGATCTATACTAGTTCGGTGAATTTGTAAATGCGTAAAAACATGTGCGTTTACTGACGATTTTCATATGGCCTTGTCACAATCTGTAGCGAAGTCCTACGCGGAAGACTACCTTTATCATCGCCTATCAGTAATCGGTATAAAAAAGGAAATAAATCTCTTTGTCGTATAGACAGGCGTAGTTACAAAGATTTGTATGCGTTAATAAACAACATGTAAGTTCACCATTTTGCCCATTGCCCATTTGGAACCTTGTTTACTCCCGTCCATGAGAATTATCTTCAATTTCCCTTTGGATTACTGTAATACCCAGGAACAATTGCAAAATTATGGAAAGGGTGAAGGGGGGGTTGATAAACAAGGTGTATCATGAGCATAATAGGCTTGTATCGACCTTGCCTTAGAGGAAGATGTCAAGCTATTTCGATCTACCATATTTCCAAAACATTCTACTCCGTTCACATCGAACTGTGTGATTAATCAAGAAATTATGCCTCTTGTAGAAAACCTTCATGAGACAGACTAATTACGAGTCAGAGTTCTTTACCTGTGCATCCAACGATATTTCAGTGGTAACCTGAGTAGCCTGATACAGGGACCCTGAAATAAGCTTGGCAGAATGCTGAGAGGTAGGCCTTTGGTAAGTGATTGCCAATATCAGAGAGCTTCGCACCTTTACGTTGGAAAAACAATAGAAAAAGAAATAAAAACCCTTGTTGGAGTTAAGTAGCACTGTCAAATACTTGCTTTAAAGAGTGCGGACACGTGTGTTCAGCCTCACATAAGATAAAGCAATTTAACGCAGGTTGCGTGAAGGTTATCAGACTCCCTCTGTAAAAACATTTCGAAACTGCTCATCTATTGATTGAATGATTGATTGGGACTCTCAAAACTAGGAAAAAAGAATAAACAGATTTTGGAGAAAAAGTCAGTTTAGAAATATGGTGGACTCCGAGGGTGGAATTGAATGAAAGTATGATTCATATAATTTCACAGGGGACAGGTGCTGAAGACATACACTTAAGGGTCGCCTATAGTCCATGGCTGTTTCCTTCGTTTTAACAAAATAGCGTCTACTTATCCACAATATTTTAACGGTAGTTCATATCTAATGGTAGTGATTACGAATTTCTCTACCTTTCGTTTTTCTGCAAGGTCAACAGCTTCTCCTCCATCACCGAGTTTTGTTTGATGATTTAAAACCGAACAAATGCTCACAATCATTAATGCGACCTCGTGGCTATTTCCAGTTTTCACTGAAGCCGCTAAGGAACTGCCCTGTCCACTTGTAAGATTTGATAGCTTACTCAGCAGCTCAGTACCCTTGACTAGGGAAGGTAAGGACTAAGAAGAAAAATTAAATAATCACATAATGAATCACAAAATTAAGACTGGCTTCCTTATGATCTCTTAAGCCATCGCAGTGATCCTAGCGGTTTGCTGGACCTTTTTTTTTTTTTCAATATTATCGATTACTTAGCTACCAGCCGCGATACAAGTGGTAAAGGGGGTGCTCGTCATTTGTGGTATTAGCATAAGGGCCGATTATTTATCATAATGCCCAATATCCACACATAAATTTTCCACACTTATTTCCTTAATTTTCCTCAAAGAATTTAGAAAATTTGATAAAAGATCAAAGCACTTTCTTTTAGTTGATTATCCTATTAATTCTCATAAACGGTTCTCTTGAAAATGTATCGTTATTGTTGGGAGAACACTGATGTTGGTTTCTCGAGGGACTTGAGTCACAAACTGAGACCTCGATTGAAGGCATTCAGTTGGCCTTCGCTGAAATAGATAATCGGTATTCTACTCGATCTGGGCGAATTTATTGTGTCGTACGGAAGAATGAAATCTGGTTAAACTGGCTTTAAACCACTGAAACACTGAATCTAATTCTAATTCTAATTTTAATTGTGTAATCTGCAATCTTAAAAATTTTAAACTTCCCAGTTGAACTAGTTACGTGAATTCAAAGAAGGATTAACAGATGATTTCGCTAAAAGAAGCAAACATATAGTTGTAAGAAAAAAAGTGTTTGGTACCTTAACTTGGAGATTAACAGTCGTTTCAGCGCCTAGTCTATCAAAAACACGAACAGCAATCTCTAACGTGTAATTATTGTCCTCATTTCCCAGAGGAAGTGAAAGCGAGGTATTTGCTTCTCTTCCGTAATACAAGAGAAATTCCTCAGACTGTAGGACGTTTACGATCTCGTAATGAAAAGGTCCATCGGGATCACTCCATCCCCAACACCAGAACCAGTAGCGCGTACTGAACACGTGACCAACACGTGGTTCGACGTCACAGGTACCACCCGTAGGTGCAGCATTTGTTAGAAAAGTGTAAGCAGCTCTACCGTAATTACCGTCAGGCAGCGTTGCAGTGATAACCAACTTATAATCTCTACTTCCTTGAAAGCTATATTCCCTTATCACAATGTTTGGATAAGCACTTGATGTGGCGTTTTTCAGGCCTGGTAGTGTCATATTATCACGCCTCCATGTTGTTTCTCCATTTTCGCGGCCTTCCAAGACGAACAAAGACCAGGAATACTTAATTTGGGTTACACAACCTATTCCTTTGCACTGAGTTGATAGGGAGAGTTTATCTGAGGGGTTCATTTTGCTTCCACAATTAACCTCGCACCTTGAAAAAGCAAAGAGCAAAAAGAAAAGAAACACAGACATCTTTTTCTATGTCGCATTTATCAAAATTATTCTATTTCGCATCATATGTATGTTCGGCTATGTATATTGTAGATCAACTTCAGCTTTGGTTCAAATCCTAGTTTCCTTTGGTTTAAACTCATTACAGTGGAACCTCGCTATAACGAACCTCTATATAACGAAGTCCTTGGTATAACGAACGATTTTCTTTATGTACGGTAAATATATGAAAGAGAACCTCGATATAACGAAACCTCGTTATAGCGAACATATTTTGCCAGTCCCATGAGCCTTCGTTATATCGAGGTTCCACTGTATCATCCATTACCATACACAAAAACAAAAAAGAAAAGGAAATTAAGACTGACCCCACTACATAGACTTCGAATTTTAGATCTGTTTCTGTAATAGAAAGTCCGGAATCAACCGTGTATCTAGTCACAAACACAATTCTACCGAATTGAATCTGGTTGAAAATTGTTTAAAAGGAAATCTCGTCTCTATCATCAAAGACGTCGCTACCAATCAAACACCACCGAAGAGATTCTAAACAGGATGGTGTAAGACAATATGCTTTCCCGTATATTTAAACCCGGGGGAGGAACACTGCCATATTTGGCCATAACGGGTATGTTCCGTTGAACAGGGTATGGTTTCCAGGGTCTTGAGTCTTAAACAGGGTATACAATTATATCATTTACCTTTTTCAACGGGGTGTCTTTTTGGACAGGAAGCCTTTTAAAGGCGTGTAAAGGTTGGCGAGTAGCTGTCTAGATGGTGGCACTTAAATACAATTTGTCTCCAAAAATATCCAATAGTAGTATAAACAAATTCTATATTGTGTATGCGAAACGAAATGAGTCAGGGGCCAGTTGCTCGAAGACGATCGATTAGCGCCCACCCGAGGTTAAATTTTAATCCAGGTTTCTTTTTCTTTTGTTTGAAGGCATTTTCTCGAATGATTTTCTCTATCCTTTTTAGAGCATCCAATAGTCACATCGTAAACAAAAAGAATTAAACTAAATTTTGCTTTTTCAACTTTCATCTCTGAATTCAAATGTCGCATTAACCGTGGGTTATCTTAGCCCAGCTTTGAACAACCCGGCCCTGGGCAATTAAATGTCGAGGCAAGGTAGCGGAATGAACGATTTTTGTCTTAAACATGGTCAGGGTTTGAAGGCCTCGGCAGCACAACTCTACCCAAATGTACCTCAGTGTTCTTCCACGGGTAATGATCTTACCTTATGGTGAGAGTCGGAAGATTTTCAGGACCAATTTCGAGTTTCTGAGTAGCCGAACTTGTCCTTTTCCCCTTTGTTACTACCAGTACGATCACGTAGGTCTCATTTTGCACCATTTGATTTGTGGTTAGTTCAAGAGAGGCCGTTTTAGAAAGAAGATACTGCCCGTTTCGGTAACAGCCTTGATCAGGGCTGGGAGGCAATGCAGTTAACTCTTCCGATGAAACATTAACCACACCATTGATCGCTTCTGTTATAATTTTCGGAAAACTTTCGGTGGTATTTCTACAAAACCAGGTGAACTCTATTCCTAGAAAACCATAAAAAAGTAAAATAACATTGGGCTTATCCGTTCACCGGTTTGGATTATAAAAGACTAAATTTATATAATAAGCCTTAGGCTCGATTTTCGGTCCTCCCCGAAAGGAAAGGATCTTTTCGGGAGGAGCACGGGGTCATTTCCCTAACATGCCAGTAGCTGGTAGTCGATGCAGCCGGAAATGTAGGACGTTAACGTCGGTGATTTACGAGATGGAGTGAGAACTCACTTAAATTCAGATAATCCAAATAAACAAAAGGCTATGACTGGCTGCGACTGCGATATAAAAAGAAAAGACTGAAAAATGATTGAACGGATAAAGACAAATTATATTTGCCTTGTCTAAAAAAGGAGAGCTCGAAAGCAAAACGAATCGCTTGAATCAAGACATTCAGCATTGTAATATTTATCTTATTTTTGTACATTTATTAAATAGTATGGTTGCCTAGTTCAAATTAGAACTATTGTTTTGTTGAAGGTAATAGTTATAAGTATGGGTTTGGCCCCTTTCATTGTATTATTAATAAATACCTGCAATAGTGCCTGGTCCAACATCCGGGTCATATGAGCCTAGGCTATCAATGGATAGCTTAGATCCAAACCCCCTTCTAATCTCGCTTCCTCCAGTGATCTTTGCAATCAACGGGGACTGGACTACCCTGATGTAACCGTCAGCAACAGTGGTGAAATCTTTTAATTCTTCTTCAACCATTCCAACTTTTAAACGCACTTTAAACAATCCCAAAGGCAATGCCCTCCTTCTTAATTGTAACTCTCGCAGAGAAACTTCTTTGTTTGAATTAAAATCATGAAAGTATTCGAAGGTCCCCGTTCTTGGATCATTTTGTAAGATCTCCCATTCATATTTGGATTCCTTGGATTCGGGGCAAAACACATCCACATCTGCCTCGATGGTGATACCTTCGGCTCTGAAAAAGTGTTTTGCATCGTTTGGAATTTCACCAGCGTCCTTTAATTTTACCTTAGGTTTCCTGCAAGGTCTTGCGAGAATCTCAACTTCGCAGGCTGTCGATACTCTTGAAACTGCATTGCCAAGGGTTGCATTGATGGTGAAAATTCCTTGCGAGTTAAAAACCTTCTTTAATATGATATCTTTCTTAAGTTCACCCCTGTATTGCACTCTTTTGGAAAGATAGCCCTTTTCCAATTCATTGCAACCGCAAACGTGTCCATAGCAGTAGCTTGTGCTTTTGTCTAACTCAATGAGAAGGGTCGAGTTGGTTCCAAGAATTTTGATGGTTGTTTGGATGGTAACGATTTCTCCCATTACCCTTGGAGAAGAGCATCTCAGTAACCCACCATGTGAGACAGAAGGACGTCTTTGGACAGCAATCACTACACCAGCAGCCACTTGACTCACTCGATTTTTAACAAGTACCGATATTGCATATATTCCAGGCGTGTTAAAAGTGCGCATAATGATTTGGTTGGTGAAATGTTCCTTAACATTATTTATTGACCACTTGTTGGTCAGACTTGAACCGTTTTCAACGGTGACATTGAAGACAACTGGCATTCCAACTTCAAAGATATTCATGTCGCTGCCATAACCAACATGGTGAGTGTTATCTTTTAAATAGGTGACGTTTATACTAGCGATAGATATAGGGATCTCTACATAAAGGATTTGTGTATAAAGCAATGATGGAGTGACCAAATTCTTTGCGGTTACTGTTATGTTGTACTGCCCTGCTCTCTTATAAACATCTGAAGTCACTACGGACAAATGGTAGAAGTTGTGATTTTCAATATTAAGGTCCTTCCTTTCAAAACGAGCTCTCAACGTTACATTTGTACCAGTTGCGGTCATGTTTATCACGAAGGTTTTGCCAAGAATCACGGGTTTGATTGGCAAAACCTGGAAGAATGTAATTTCCTTCTGAACTGTGGCATATCCCGACGCTCTCACTTCACTCCAGCGATTTCGACAAGCGGCGTTGACTTTATAAATACCTACTTTCTCAAAAACGTGTTTTGCACAAATGCTAATATTGATGAACTTTTTGACACTCAACTCCGAATCTTTGAAGTAAAAATGTTCATCCTCTAGGTTTTGTAAAAGTTCGTGGCCATCTCCAAACTGCCAATGGCACGAGAAATCTGACCCTTTCATGATAAACATAGTAATGTTGACATGATCATTGACTTTAGCAATGAGATTGGGTATAACGGCCCCGTCTAACATGATCACTGGCTTATGAACCTTTATGAGAATGCTGGTATTGAATCGAGAAACTTTGTTAGCAACTGTGATGTTAACAGTGTGAAGCCCATGATAACTGTAAGAGTGATTGACAAAGGTTTCACGGGTATGCACCACTTTACTGTTGTCTCCAAAGCTGACCATATATGAAGCATTTATATCGGGTCCAGAGTTCACTTCTGTCAACCAAACTGAAATTGTCTCATTGATCTCTATATCTCTGGTCTGATGAATTAGAACGGGCACAAACGGAGAAACCTCTCGAAGAATGGCGCATTTAAGAGATGTGGAAATCCATTTCGTCACGGCATTTGAGGCAGCGACATGGGCATAAAATATTCCAGGAGTTTTGTACTCGTTTTGTGTTACCAATGCATGTCCATGCGTCTCATTTTTTGACTTAACAGCTTCGAGAGTAACTTCTGAAAAGTTTGCTTTGTATAAAACACCAGTCCCATCGTTAATATGCCATCTTACCATAAACTGTGTTCCAAACAATATAGGAGGAATTGGAATCATTGTCAGCCCCATTATAACTTTTTGGACCTGTACGGTTTCAGAAACGGATAGCTCACTTCTTCTGTTTCTGCAAGTGACTATTGCTGTGTAAGTCGCAGGAGCTGAGTAGGTGTGTCTAAAAACAATTGCTCCTGAAAAATTGCGTACTGTTGTTTTATTCGCATTATCACCTAGCAGCCACAAGCACTCAAAATCTGTTCCTTGCTCAACAAGTAGTGTTATTTGGGTGATCTCCCCAAACACTGTCGGGTTGCTATGAAGAGATACGTTGTTTAAAATGCGAACTGGTTTCGGCACTGAAATGTTGGCGTTGCCAGTTAAAATGCTAGTATTGCACAAGGTCCAAGCCACTACATGCAAGGAATAGTACCCTATATAGCTGTACATGTGAAAAGCCGTTTCAAGGAAACTCTCTTGAACATCGGTACCATCACCAAAGTCAAATCGGAAGAATGGTTTAGTGACGTTTTTGTTTGTAATTGCGCTAACTGCCAGCAATGTTTCATTTGCTTCTGCCACATGCACTGGTGACGTAAGGTTGAGAGAAAGAAAAAGTAGAGGAACCACTGAAATCAAATGCAATATATTAGTCCCTTTGAATACCTTCCTGCAATAAGAAACTCCCATTGTATAAAAGACATTGAATTAACATTGCTAAATCCCAATCAGCTGCTTCTACTGGCTGTTCTGTGATATTCTTACAGTAATAAATAAAACGGGGAAGATTAACGATTATTCACGATTTTAGCCGCTACGATTCCTTTACGTACAATATAATTAGGCACGTTTTGGTAAGTCTGTTGGGGTGGTTGACGAGGTATCTGAATTGAAAAAGAAGTCCATACATAGTCCGGTTATAGTGTTCCACAACGTGGATTCCATAATCTAGCCACTGAAATCACGAACTCACTGCTTGGAGTATTAACCCTAAAATGTTCGTGGTTTATCTAATTTCCTCAGCAGAGTAGTTAATAATGATCTGGAAAGAAATATTTGAAGCCCAATTAACTTGATCCCTCGAGAAGCGAAATAAGTGCTTTCATCTTTCTGTTCATCTCTCAGTGTGGTGTAGGTAAAATCCGTCCTAAGAAATTTCCTTCGAGTCTAATGAGCAATTCTGAATTAAACAAGGATGAATACAGGTTTCAGTAACCTGGGAACGGATTATATTTACAACATCTTCACCTTTACAAACCTTGTTTGCAGGCATCTTTTCCTTCAAAGACTTCCCTTGGTTCAAGTGCCTTGGAATAGAACTGCAAACATGCAACTTCTCCATGGAAGGAACCTAGGGAAGAAATGGCTACCGCTCCAATCCGAATCTCGTACCGTGTGGCGAGATACAGATTCTTGCCAATAAGCGTTCTCTGGACTACCAAACCGTCATGATAAAGAGTTGCATAACCTGTTACGTGATCATACGAGGCGCCAACGAAATTCCATTGCCCTAAGTTAAGCACTTCAGCTCTCAACCGCGTGGTTGTATTCAGGTTTCGTTTGTTGAACCGTGCCATAAGCTCTCCCTTTTCACCTGCATTCCCCTGGACCCAAAGCTGCACACCATGGCCGATAGCATTATAATGAACAAGGGGCCCAGGTAGGTTTCGAGTCGGGTTAATGTAAAGCAAAATAGTCATTGATTGTTCAAATTTTACTTGTTTGTTTGATTCAATCTCGATGTAGGAGTTTTGATTCCCTTCTAGTCGTACTGCACCGCCGGGTTCACCTTCGATCCCGGGGACAAAGTGGGTGTTCGAGAAATGAACTTGCAAACTTCCTTGGATAATCTCCTGGTTGGTGTTGTAATACTCATTGAATGGGAAAAGCGCCGCTGGCTTTGTTGTGAAATTGCAGTATTGAAGAACTGGAATTAAAATTAAAATCTAAGTCATCAAAACCTTTTTAAACCTTCGCTTGGAAGAATCTCTTCTCAATACTTACATTTTGATCATGGACCTATTTGAAAGAAGGGATTTATTTTAAAACATTTTCTGCAATCTTATAAGCGTATAATCAGTGAGAACGGGCAAGCCTGGTGATAGTTTCTCTTTTGGCCGAGATTAACAACTCAATAAATAAAGTGTATAACCTTAAATACAAAGTAGCAAGGATGGCCGCACTTTTTTATTTATATTTGCTGTAAACCGGACACCACGTGTTTGAAATGGGTAAGCCTTAAAGAATGCTGGCCTCTTATGTCAGGTGAGATGAATGCAGTTCACAAACCAACACTCCAATGTCCTTTATCTTCCTGAACTGAATAAAAGGTGGATTTTACACCGGTCATAAACGTGTCCGTAAGAGAAAATATGTGAGTAAAAAAAAACGCTGATAAAGTATTCGACATAACTCTTCATGTTTTGTAAAGAATGCAAATGAAATCGTTCGTCCTTGTTTGGTCAAGTCTCGCAAAGCTGGCCTTGCATTTTTAGAGCTTTTAAATTATTATCGGGTCATTTTGTACCTGTCCATGCGTAGTTGCACATAGGCAAGCCTTCAGAGCTCGCTGGCAGCCGGGGCTAAAGCTAGGCACTTTACACCGGAGGATATTTGTTCGAATTCATAAATCTTTCCTGTTTTTTTACTTTTCGCTGATTCGGAGACACACTTCAATTAATCCAAGAACATTCTGATTCGGAGACAAAATTTTCATTTAAGGTACCAGATTCAAAATCTCCGGGCATGCGTTCACACTGAAGCTCACTGACAATTATTTCGTTACGAATCGGGTAAAATCTCCCCTACTGTAAATGTAGACAGAGATAGAAAACTCTTCCTTTATATTACGTAATTAGAAATATAATCTGTACAGTCAGTTAACCTTTTTGCGACAATCAATAACACTTTTTCTGTCACTAGTTGAAATTAGACTATCTTCACAGTGCTGAAAAGTAACCTTTTTAACTAATCTTCTTATTAATTTTTTGGGTCACTTTTGTTCTAGATTTAAGTGTTTCATTCACTAAAGAAGTCTTTGCGAATACATTAAACAGTAATGGTTTGCCTATTTGGTAAATAAGGTGCTAAGCAGTCGCAACTTGTGATTGAAATAGTTCGAAAATGCGTTTTACTTTACCTCGAGTTCGATGACAAACAGCTCCTCGCAGTGTCAAAACCTGCAACAAAATCTGCAGTGAAACAATAAATGATAAATTTGCACTACCCTTAAACCGTGCGGCGCATCGATCCAATTAAAAGCATTGGATACATACCTGAAAAACAAACGCCAGTGAGAACAGCAAGCCAATGTGTTTTTCGTGCTTCCTTCCCATGTTAATCGTCGAAAAGTAGATTTGGGTCAAACAAGGCCATGTATTTGTCGCATGAGGTTATTTTAAATGGCTTTCAAATTGCTGTGGCTTAACCAGCTTTAAAGTAGCTATAGTTGTTTTTCTATTTTCACCGACTTATAAAACAGGTGCTATTGTGATAAAGAATGTCTGCGGTTACGTCTCTTGTCAAACCGCAAAAAAACAGCCTGTTAACAATTTATCTCTTTATCAGGTGAAGTGACGTCTAGTCGAGGTGAACACTGCTTGTAAGTGAGAGCCTTGTCAAATAAATCTTACCCCTAGCTGTGTCACAAGCACTCTTTTCTAAGCATTTCTTAAAATTATTTTCATGAAAAAACAACCGCACTGTTCAGCGGCAGATAGTCACTAGATCATCCTTGGGAAATGTTTTTTTTTCAGTTCAGAAGACTTGGTACCGTCTCCAATACAGATTTCTAGGACTCACTGTACAGTCTCTTTAATGATTTACCTTTTTATGTTCTAAAATATAAAGAACTGTCATTTTTTTTTGTACACAGCTAGGATTACAAAAGGAGCAACAAGGAATTTGATACCTTAAAAATTCAAGTCACTGAGCGGTGTTACTTCGAAAGCACTTTCAAACACTTAAATTTGTACTCTTTTACCACTTAATTTTAAGCACTTTACAAAACTCGCATTTGGCAGCTTAGTAAATCTGAAAGATTCAGGTGAATCTGTCACGTATATTTTCAGCTGAGACAAAACACATTAAAGAAAGGGAAAATACACCAAACAGTAAACCCTATTCACAACCTATCAGTTCTTAACCTTTTAAGTCTTAAGAGAAACCAACCTCAATTTTCTCTTGACAATATTCATACATCATCAAGAGAAAAGGTTAGGAGAACTGAAAAAATGATCACCAAAGGGAGAATGTTTTGATCTTCTATCACATTCTCCCAACTATTCTTTTAAGGAAATGTATGCAGGTCTTTCTGGAGAATTTGTATGTGGATATTGGTGCTTAACCTTCTAAGTCCCAAGAGTGACCAACCGTGATGAATTTTCTCTTAACAATACCAATACATCACCAAGAGAAAAGGTTAGGAGAATTGTTGATTTAGTTATGATCCCCTCTAATGTGGGAGTTTATTTGTGCAAACAATTTTGGCGGTTTTTCGAGATTGTTCGGTGCCTGGTTCGGTGAATCTTGGAACAAAAGGAACGTGTAGTAAATTTTCCTCCTTAGATTTTATGCCCTGTTTTGCAAGATTCTTCGAGACACCTGCGAGTCCGTTCAATCCTACATGTATGTTGTAGGAAGCAATAATCATTTATATGATTATAACTCCAGTCTCAGATTTCACTAAAATTATAGCGCTTTTGGGATGCATCTTATAGTCTTCAACATATGAGTTGCAGTTGAAAGCTTAAGGGCTATAATTTTTTTTCAACCTTGAGACTATTATGAAGGCATTCATTTCCAAGGTCGCGGGGAATGATTCATAGTGAAGTATTAATTGCTCTATTACTTTATTTTATTTTCCTTTTTGTATAACATGTCACTCATTGTTTCCATTCCCCCAATAAACTCATCACCAGTTTGTTTTACCTGTCCCTGAATTGTTTTCTTAGTCACCAAAATACATGTATGTCTTTTAGATCAGTGAGAGCTTCCCTAATTGTGAAATCAAAATATTTGCTACGTATTCTATTTTTAAATCCCATTTTTAAGCAATAAAATTGCAGTAAAACTGTCATAGTAAAACAGAAGATGTGATAAAAAAATTCTTAGGAACGGTGCAATTTTTTCTAAACAATTGCATACATTTTTTCAACAATATGAATTACTAAACATTATTGTTGGCCGAAATATTATCGAACTCTGCGGGATTTTGTGTCTCTGTAATCTATTTTAGATTTCGAATATAATAACAAATCTTTTGCCAAATATTACTACAGAATTGCTTTCATAAATTGCATGCAAAGTTGAAATTTGTGAACCCCCTTTCAACCTTTCTTGATTCTTGATTTTTTTCTTTATTCTTCTCCATAAAATAACATGCTGTTTTTCCATCAGCCATTGAACATTTTAATAACCAAAGGTGTAAACTACACTGAAATTATACGTCAAGTTTTATTCACTGAAACAAGTACACTGAAGACCGCACGTGGGGATTTTAATTTGGGAGAACCTCCAATTTTAAGGGGAAAAGAGCCAAAACACCCCTCGTTCTATCTTCTATATTCAAGGCCTAGTTGATAACGCAGTTGGTTTGCCTAATACTTATTCGTTGTATAGTGATTTATCCGGTGGATTGCGTGCTATCCGACGTTTGAACAACCCGGGTCAGGTCTTTTAATTGGCATGTATACTGGTACAGTTTGTTTAGTTCTTGCTTGTAGAGGTGGTAACATGCCATGTCTGTGCTCATAATATCTAGTAATAAACTTAATCTGATACATAACTGGCAAGGGCTTAGGTACAACATGAGGGAGCTTAAGCAACGACGACGGCGACGCCAACGAGAACGGTGAAAAAGCAGCTGGTTTAGATTAGCAAATCAACAACTCTGCACGTGCATCACGCTTTTTTGTCTATTTTTATGGCGTAGTTGCACGACTACATCATGAGACTTCGTAGTTTTGCGTTTTATGGGGAACGTGAACACAAGACAACAATTTTCTTTTTCTTTTCCTGAACTTTTAAACAGTCTGTTAGAATTCAACTCCAGAAAAATTTGCCACAATTTGATGAATTGAGGAAGATGGAATAAGCTCAACATAGTTTGGAATTTTTGAGTGACGTTTTCGAAGCCGTCAATTATTTCGGATGGGGCAAATAATTGATGTTCGAGACATTGGCAAATCACGGTATTTTGCGATAACCGAGTTCAATAATTGTTTTGTCATTCGATCCCCGAGTTTTAATTAAGAAACTCATAGATTGGGAGCAATCAGCCATTTTCACGCAAGAGCGGTGACAAGAAGGAAAAAAAGTCATGGTTTTATTTACGCACGAGCAGAATGTTATTTGCAGCCAAACACAGTTGGACCACATTGCGCATAAGCAGACCATTATTTGTAGGCAGTTATTTGCAGGTTACGTGGTGCGTTCTTGGCCAATGAAACGGAAGAAAAATTTGCATCGAATGATAACGAGTCTTTTCTGAGACAAGCAGCACTAGCTTTTAAAATAAAGCCTCTAATTTGGACTAGGAAATACTTGACCACAGTGATGCGATAAGTTTACATACTTCACAGCTGCCGAATGAGCCTTCTTTTACAATGTGAAGCTTCAGCTAACACAAATCATTCCTGGCTGAGCTTTCCAGTGAGACCAGTTTTAATGTAGAACCATATCGCGGCTCTTGCACTTATTGGTTGGTAAATAAAAAAGGCAACTCAAATCATTCCGTGAAATTTCAAGCGAATCCAGAATAGACCTGGCAAATCATATGAGTTTCACAAAACGGCAAAACTAGCCAAAACAGTAAAGGAAATTCTCTACTACTATGCTCAAATGGCATCACTAATATGTTCGGATATAAGACTGCTCGTTTGCCTGACTTTTCTCGTTCGATTGTTGAGACGATCCATCTGAGGAGGCAGGTGACAATGTTGTA